CAAGAAGAATAAATCGTTCCAAATTCTACCGATCGAACGAAAATCAAAGATACCAACGAAAATATAATAATAAAAAAAATTATACCGATTCCAATTATTTCGTTTCGTCGTTCCAACTATTAAAGCGCCACGAATAATAAAAAAAAGAAACGATAAATTTCTCCAAAATGTATAAAAGATACCTTTACCAAAAAAGAAGCGTAACTAAATTTTCGCGAATAAATGGAGTTACGATACTGATCATTTAAACGATAATTCAAAAAAAAAAATGATTAAATTAAAAAACAAAAGATAAAGAAAAAATATCCTTTTATCAATCTCGTCGATTAATAATGAAAAAAAAAGAAAGAAAATTAAATTAAACTATTCGAAAAATGAAAAAAAAAAAAGGAAATGTTAAAATTAATGATCTATAAAAATCTATAGACGTAACGTAAAAACGAAAAAAGAAAAAGAACTATCGTGATAACGATTGATATATTAATAAAATGAAATAAATATTAATATTCTTACGAATATTATTATAGCGAATGTGAATCGCGGCACGGTGTCGCGTCGATTGTTATTGTATACGTATCGATTAAACGTAATCGGTTTCCGAACACGGAGCGGAACGGACGTGTTCCTTTCTGCTCTCCGAATAAACGTTTTATCGATATACGATATTTAATAATCGTAAAAAACGTAAAATAAAAAAATATTAAAATGTAAATGACTGTTAAATTAAATAAAAATACGAGGATATGAAAGTAAACGATCGAACGAATAGAATTTAAATATATAAAAAAATAATACTAATAATAATCTTCCGAGTGATAAATGAAATTTAAAAGAAAAAAAAAGAATCTAATAATTAAAATCGATAAATTAAAAATTTCGAATCATCCGATTTCTCTTTCTTTTATATTTCAAATATTAAGATATTAAGAATTAAAGATACGATTGGAGATGAAATTTTCGAGTAATGGAGAAGAAAGGTGGGAAATCTTAAGCATCGAGTTTTAGCTCCGAATATTTATTCATTTCCGAGATGTTGTTCGACGATTTTCGATTCTAAATTGCCAGCATGAATGTTTTTGCATCGAATGCTGCTTATCCAGATGTTTCAACGATCCTCGTTCTATAGCGGTCGAGTATCCGATAACATTTTTGTTACATCGGTTTATCTCTAATAAGCATCCAATCTCTGATTCATCCAAAATCTGCTCGTTTCTTCTTCGAAAATTAAACGCGTTAAATTTAACGAATGTCAAATACCAATCTTAGCGAAGGACCCTTCTTGCTTCTGTGCCGCTCCGGCTGCAAAACTTCTTTTCAGCGATGGTACGAAAAATTCTATCGAATGTTACTTCTATTCTGTATCTCGTCTATGACTTGGAGGTTAGTCTCGTATCCTTCGTTTTCTCGCGAGTTTCCAATATGTCCGTAGACGATTGTGAACGTTGGTATTCGTCCAGATAAATTATCGTTTTTACCATTTCTCTCAAAGATATAAAATTTTTATTTATATAATTATTAAAATGATACGTTTCGTACGAACTTGGAAAATTATTTTTCGTTACGTGATGTTTATTCTATGTATTCAGTCTGAGATATTTGTAAGTAATAAAAATCTTGGTTAGATTGTAAAATAAACGTTCTTAAATTTCCTTTGTATCGTTGTTACTTTTTACGTTAAACTTTCAATCGGTAAAGATACCGATTTGTTCTTTCAAAAAGTTAAAAAAAAAAGTGATTTCATTTCTTAACGATCAAAATTTTTTTGACAAATAATAATATTTTTGATAAATACGTATCTCGAATAAAGTTTCTAAAATACGTTCCAAACATTTGTTACAATGTGGTGTTTTAAATTATATAATTTGACAGTTTTCGTTATTTTTTGTAGTAAAAATAGTAACGAAATGAAGTCTTTAATGCGAAGATATTCGAGATATAAATATTTAGCGTATTAATTTTTTTATGTACGTACAATTTTTCATTTTTTTTTTTTTTTTTTTCTCCCTCTCTAAAATCTACGTTGTACGTAGCTATACATCTTGTATAGAGAGATGTAATTTTTATTATCTTCGCTATATGTACGCGCTATACGTCGATTCCACGAACGTAAAATTCGACCGAATATTTATAAAATTTATTAGCAAACTTTTAAGCATTTTCAGTTTTAATTTTTTTTTATCAAGTAAAATATTATTTTCTGTTGAGAAGAAAAAAAATTATGATTCGATTATTTCTTATCCCTATAAGAATTGACCAATAATTCTAATAGTTTGCTCGATAGCGGTATAATGATTTACGGATAACGAAAGATAAAAAGATAATGAAATACAGAATTTATATTATTATACTTGTGTAAAATATTAAGGATGAATGTAATGAATATTAATTTTAAATTTTAATTAATAAAGATTAATTGTAATTTTAACTTTTATATTTTTTAGAATATTGTACGCTCTATAAAGGTGAATTTTTCCTGCTTGAACCGAACTGCTGGCTTTTATGCGGATACGGATGCTAATTGTAAAATATATTATACCTGCGATGAATATGGGAATAAATTTACTTATCATTGTCCGGAAGAAACTGCTTTTCGACAAGATGCCTTGATATGCGATCACGCTCATCTTGTGCATTGCGAAAAAACTAGTATTTCCTTCCCTCTCCAAGAATATAATGATAAACCTAGGAATGATGATTCTTCTTATCCAAAAGATAAGAGTCGATCTTTTTTTCCTATGACGCGATTGATGAAAACGAACAACCAAGTAGGATATAAATTTATCTCTAATTCTGATCGCCTTTTCAAAGATCTAGATAAAACTATTGAAAATAAAGCGATTGATTCGTTTTATCCGTCCAATTATAATAATGTCACTACCGATTCTGAGACGAATATTAGAACGCGTTACGTGATTGATGAATATGATAAAAATGGTTTAAAGAAAAATCAAAGTTTTTCTATTCGGATCCAAAGTTTTTACGACAAAGATAAACGTAATGAGAAATCCATGCTTAACCAAAGAAATTATTCGCGACGAAAAATGAACGATGCTGCGGATAATCTCCTAAACGTGTCTTCCGATACGTTCTCTGAAAATATTCACGCTCGAGAGAATAATGTAAAGGATTATCAACCTGTCAAGAACGCTAATCATTTTTTGAAATTATCTTCTATAAACTATAGAAATTATCCATATTTCGAAACATTGAAATCTATTCAAAGAAATACAAAAATTCTTCCTACGGCCGGTACTACGAAGACAAATATTGCTTTGGCTACTACGGAATTACCTGTATACGCTTTAACCTTATCTTTGAAACCTTTGATACCGAATGAATTGGAATACGATCCGTATTATCCAAGATATTCCACAACAACGGAAACTTATTATACTCCCGTGCAAAATATTAAAGAATGGTCTCGGGTTGGAAATTCTACTCGAACGATGATGTGGTCCTCGAATATTCATTTTCGATTACCGTCGGTTTTACCGGATTTAAATTCTCTCGATGATATTGTTGATCGTAGAAAATTGCTTTATATTCCTCGAATTAAGTTTAATTGATATAAATATTTTTTTATCAAATATAAATAAATGTATAAATTTTTCAAGATTATTTATTCGATTTAATTATAAAATAAATTATAACTAGTAAAAATTAATAAAATTAAGTGAGTAGATTATTATATATATTTTTTGATATTATTGATATTAAATATTTTTTACGAATTTTTTTATAAATTTAATAAAAAAGAATAAACGAAGGAAAACGAATATTCAATTGTACGTTTTTTTGATTGCTAAATAACAATTTCATGTAAAAATTTCAAGTGATGTAAGTAATGTAAATAAAATAATTAATTATTTAAGATAGCTTATTAAAGTTTTCCTCTTATTTATATATCTGGTTATCCGATATCTTACTCTTTCTTATCTTATTCGTTTATTGAAAAGCTTTTAAAAGCTTTCTTCGATTCTCTTGTCAAGTATTTTGACGTTGTTATTAACGAGTGTTGCGTGCGTGATTTTGAATATTAAATAAATACTTGAGCAAATTGTTACTTAATAATCAATAAATTAAATCGGTATTAAATCGTGCGAATGGACGAATTAAACGATATATTCGTATATTTAAAAATCGTTCAAAAATTTTCTAACGATTGGATTGAAATATAGCGATTTGCACCATTTAAGTTCAAAATTGAAATTTTATAACAACAATACTTACCGCGAAAAAAAAAATTATCCTTTTGTTGCATGATGTACCGTTGTTTTGATTTTTCTTTTTATATGTACGTATGTACGTGTTGTACGTCGCGTATCGCGTATATGTATCGTTTATCTTTTTCGATTTGACGATCGTTTAGTGAAGTGATAATTATGAAATTAAAGGAAATTATTTCCGCGTATACGGAAAATCTCGTAATTCGTGATACGATCGATAAGTGAGTAAAAAAACTGTTGTTCGTATGCGAATATATTGAAAATAAAGAATACATCGTATATCTATGTCGTATACTTAAATCCGAATTTCACTAATTTCCGACGAGATATGGATGGATAACGTAGAGAAATGTGCAAAAATAAGTCGTCGTCGTGATACCGATTATATTTAAAAGATAAAATAACGTTATTATTAATCGGTTAATATCTTGCGTTTGTTATCTCTCCGTATTATCTCTCCTCTCCTCTTTTCCCTCCTTTCTTTTAACGATTAATAATTATATCGAAATTTAACATTTTAAAAACGCGACATAATCGAACTTTGTATATTGTATGTTCCGTGTCATTGGGATAGAGTTTGCAAGGGTGGCTTTCCTTGTTTCTATCGATCGACGCCTGTGCAGTGAGCGACCTCGACTTGACCGCCGACCATAGTCCGGAACAAGTAATCATCGTTCGATCCTTTTATATTTCGAATTTGTTTGTCTAATTATAAATCTTCATCTCGCTTTTCTTGTGTTTATTCGTTGTGTTCGTTGTGTTTATTCTCGTTTATCGAAGATTAAATAACGAGTACAAGAAGAAAAGAACGAAAAACAAATCCATAGAAAACGCTGAAAACTATTGGAGCAACATCTAAGAAAACATATACGTATGTGTATTACGAGGTAATCGCGGATCTGTCGTGCTTTTAAAATGAGACGACTCTTCTTCGTTTTAAACGATAATTATAAATATGATAAATAATATGTAAAAATATCGTAAAATATGTCCGTATCAAAGAATCGAATCGCTGTTCGAACGCGGTATGGGAAAGAATCTGAAATTAATTTGTTTAATGATTCAAATGTGATATAATATTAATTCTAATAATGTTGTGAAACGATATAAAAGTGTTTGAAAATCGATAATTGTTTGAAAATTATAATTTTCAATGTCAAATATTGAAAGAACGATTTATGACTCCGAAAAAAACAATGGAGATATATATTCTAATGAAATTTTGAAGATTCAAAGTTGATAAAGAATTCGATTCTATTGATATTGAATAAAAACTGGAAAAAAAATCATTAAGAAATTATGAAGAACTGTGACGTTGAGTTAAGAATGACGATGAACGATAAATACGATGATATAAAATTTTTCATATTTTATGAAAAAAATTCCAACAGTTGAAAACATTGAAAGATAGAAAAATGTCCGAAGGTAAAGCAAAACCGGCATCGCCGATACCACCGCCTGTTTCTACGCAATGCTGTAATAGCTTAACAGATACGCAGTGTCCAGCGCTCCAAGTTACACCACGAATGTTGCGATCTCCCAGTCATGAGAGTGTTACGACTGATCTTTCTCTATTTAGCGTATCCTCGATAGCAAGTGAGTTGCGAGGTGTTAATAGACTGGTTACTTTTAAATCGTATACCGATGTACATCTAACTGGTCGTGGCCCATCACCAAAACCTGATTCTCGTCAGATCCAAAGTAACAGGTATTATATATTATTATAAATAAGTATCGACTGATATTTTTATATACTAATTTTTAAATTTGTTTTTATTGTTTGTATAATTGAGAATTCTCTAAAAGTGTTTCACGAATATATGTATATTAACATCCTGTAAAAGGAAAGCGTTATATTATTTTTCCTTATTTTTTTTCTTTTTATGTAAAGAATGTATATATATATATATATGAATCGATACGTTTTATTAAAATTCGTTTTAAAATACGTTTTATTATAAAAAAAAAAATATTGTATCGCGATAAGCGTAATACAAAATCGTTTATATGATGGAAATAACAAGATTTTATATGTGAAACGTTCGATTAATTTTATGGGATTTTAAAAATATAAAAGTTTGAGAAAAATCTAAAAATTATTCGTTTAAATTTTCAATATTTATTCTCACCTTTTCAGGCCAGCCGATATACCAGAAATTCTTTGGTTTGAGGAAGAAAATGAATTGATTCGTAGTTGTGGAGTACTTTCATCGGCGCTTGGTCTTCGTAAAAGTTTTAGCACGAGTGACGTATCTCAACTGCCAAGTCCGGATATATTGGGCCCGAACGGTTTACGATCGGCTGTATCCACATTGGCCCTCAACACTGCCCAAAGAAACACTTTGCTTTTGGAACATGCGCGACTTGACCATGCTTCGAGATCGTGTAGTACATGGGTTGCGGTTGGTGAACCAGTTGCGAATACGTCACAACTTCCTAGTCCTCATGGTGGAGCTATGCAAGAACAGCAGCAGCAACAACAAACTTCCGCCTCTCAATCGGCTCAACAACCTCCTGCTACGTCGCATCCATCGATACCTTTCACAGGAGCTGATTTCGTTAGATCTGTCAATAAAAAAGTTCGCCAAAATTATATACGCCGAAGGTTAGTTCGAATTTATATATTTTAATTGTTTAAATTGTTTTGATTAAAGTTTATTTTTACGAAGCGTAAAAAGCGTGTTTCTGCATAAAATAAATATTGTTTAATATTATGTGTCGCGAGCATTGTCTAAAGACGTTAAGATTTAATTAATTCTTCTATATAAAATTAATTTATCGTATTTAAACGTCATTAAATGCGACATAAATTTTTACCATTTAGATTAATAACGTAAAAATTAATATCCGATTTTTTATAATTTTTAGATTATTAACGACATATCGCGCTTTGGAGCGGCTTTCGCAAAGCGAATTTAATTTGGATCAATTGGAGGTTGTGGCAAGTGCAGCGCGAACAACTTCCGGAACTACGTTACTGGTCCCTGGAACAACAGGCACCACTGGATCTTCGTTATTAGGACAAAAGGAACGAAATCATGCTTTAACCGTTAAAGATGTTGAAAGAGAACGTGGAAATCAATTATCCAAATACGAAAGAAATATGATGATTTTTAACTGGCTACATACTCTTGACGATACTGCTATTGTTGACAGTGTAGAATAAATTACGTTAATTTTGCTAGAAACCGAAAGATCTAGTCGGTCGAAATAATTAACGATTAAAATTCATAAATACGTTACAGAGAAATGTTTTATTTTATATAAAAGAGACAATTTGAAAAATTTGAAGAAAATGGATAAAAATGAATATAGGCGAAATAATAATATCTAACCGGCTAAATCTTTTGATCTCTGGTATAATAATCTTGGGCAATTATAACTAATATTTCCACTACGCTTAACATTAATTACGGTACATGTTATACGGAAAAAAAAATTTGTATCGAAATATATTAAAACTCAAACTTCTCACGCAACAAATATAACAACGTTCAAAAATTATTTACTCTTTTACGATTTAAAATATTATTTTTATAATATATGTATAATTATAATTTTTATGAACTTTGTTTCAAAATGCACTATTTAAACGTTAAACGATTGAACGCTTGACGTCACTTATACGTATCCTCGGGTGTCCCGAGATGATGCCAAATTAATATTGCGTGTTCAGGAGGTCGAATAAATGAGAAAAGTTCCATATCCATAAAAATTTTTTATTAAATAGTTACGAGAGATCGATATATTGTCTGTTAAGCAAAGTTATAGTTAGGTAATACGATTAATTTTGAGATTTTATAAATTTCCACTTGACAAATGTACCTAGTATCATTTTTCGTTATTATTTATATACTAATTTTACAAAGCTTGATGTTAAAAGATGGATTTTTTTTGTTTGTGATAAAAAAAAAATTTAATTTTAGTCGAAAATAATGATTAATAAATTTTTTTCGATTTATTCTTGATATATTATAAATTTTTATATAAATGGCACTCTGAATACGCTCTTAATGCTAAACACCATTTCTGTGTACATTAACTATTTTATGTAACTTTATAAATAAAAATTAAGCAGCTAAATATAATAGTAATGCGTAAATATTAATTTTTCATTCCCATAAAAATTTCAAAAATTTTTTTGTAATTTCAAAATTTATTATACAATTTAAATGTAACGATAGATACGTTAAATTTTAGAAAAATAAAGAAAACACAAGAAGACGTGATGAAATGGTAAGAATTACGTATTTGAAATAAATTTCTTATATATTAAAAAATCAATGATATGAAAAAAATAAAAATATTTAATATTTATATATATATATAAAACACTTGTTACGTATATTACATAATATATGTAACAAAATTATTACATATACGTATATACTATGCATACGCAAAGCATTAATTTATTTTATTTCTTCGTTATATATTTATTTTAAATAATCACATTTTTTTTTTAAATATGGAGTGTTAATGTATATTATTTTACATTAATCTTTAACATCTTTAAAAGATTGAAATTATATATCGAAACAAATACAAAA